CATGGAATAGTTATTATGACAGGGAAAACACCAAAAAATATACAAATCAAATTCCAGAGATAAATTCTAAAATTTCCGTAGTGAAAAATGCAGGGATTGTTGTTGTTTGTTTGTTTGTTTGTTTGTTTTGAGACGGAGTCTTGCTGTGTTTCCCAGGCTGGAGTGCAGTGCCACGGTCTTGGCTCACTAGAACCTCCACCTCCTGGGTTCAAGTGATTCTCCTGCCTCAGCCTCCCATGTAGCTGGGAATACAGGCGTGCACTATCACACTCACCTAATTTTTGGATTTTTAGTAGAGATGGGGTTTTGCCATGTTGTCCAGGCTGGTCTTGAATTCCTGACCTCAAGTGATCCACCTGCCTCAGCCTCCCAATATACTGGGATTACAGGCATGAGCCACCATGCCCAGCCAAAATTTCTTTTTCAAAAATCTGAATTGGCAATCTAAAAATCTTGATTTCTGATTTCTCTTGGTGCTGACTAGATCCGGCAAACACTAGGCCCCTATTTCCGAAGGTGGTAACCGGGGAGGGCACAGGCCTTCTGGTTTACCAGTCCCCTGACCTGATCCAGCAGCACCCTTCACTCAATTCAAGCCACTTGCTGGAGGTTCTGACCCCTCTCGTCAGGTACCATTTCAGGATGCCACAAGCCCTTGCTCACACGAAAGTACCTCAATTTGGACCTCAAAATAAAGAGGCCAGTTCATCTCAACTCATTTATTTATTCATTTATTTGAGACAGCATCTCACTGTCGCCCAGGCTGGAGGGCAGTGACACAATCTCGGCTCACTGTAACCTCTGCCTCCCAAACTCAAGCGATCCTCCCACCTCAGTCCCCCAAGTAGCTGGGACTACAGGCTCACGCCGCCATTGCCCTGCCACCACGCCCAGCTAATTGTTTTGTATTTTAGTAGAGAAAGGGTTTTACCATGTAGTCCAGGGTGGTCTCAAACTCCTGAGCTCAAGCGACCCACACACCTTGACCTCCCAAAGTGGTGGGATTACAGGAGTGAGCCGCTGTGCCCGGCCACTTTCACTCAATTTTGATCAACAGCCAGTGTTAGGTTTCATGTTAACTACCATCACCTGTCAAGCACCAGCCACTTGAAGACCCGCTACCGGGACGATCATACTTGGATATGGCCAAACCAACGTTAGGAAGGGAAGGCACCTGCAGTGTCTCACAACTGGGTGGTACTACCGCTCAGACTGGTTCATTGTGCACGCCAGGGAGCAACCCAAGTACCATCCAACTGTGACCTCCCCAAAAAGTCCCTCCTTCATCACAGAGGTATGCAAATGGAATGTAAGAGGGGTGCAGTACTTGGCCACCTTTCTTTGAGAAAGAATTCTCGAGGTGACAACTTTTCCTTCCACTAGAAAAAGTCATCTGAGGCCGGGCTCACTGGGTCCTGACTGTAATCCTAGTGCTTTGGGAGGGCAAGGTAGGAGGACTGCTTGAGACCAGAAGTTTGAGACCAGTCTTGGCAACATAGCGAGACCTTGTCTCTACCAAAAAAGGAAAGAAAAAAGAAAGAAAAAGGCAACTGAAATTCAAGGGATGTAGAAATATCAGTCTCTTGGCTGGGCACAGTGGCTCACGCCTGTAAGCCCAGCACTTTGGGAGGTCAAGACGGGCAGATCACTTGAGGTCAGGAGTTTGAGACCAGCCTGGCCAACATGGTGAAAACCCAACTCTACTTAAAAACACAAAAATTAGCCCAGCGTGATGGTGGGCACCTGTAGTCCTAACTACTCAGGAGGCTGAGAAGAATCACTTGAACTCCGGAGGCAGAGGCTGCAGTTAGCCGAGATGGCGCCACCGCACTCCAGCCTGGGCAAGAGTGAGAGACTGTCTCAGAAATTTAAAAAAAAAAAAGGAAACATCAATTTTTTATAGCACAGGCGGTCTCCAGGGTGCTGCAGTGTGAGCCTACTCTAGGATCAGCTGAATGGTTCCAGGCCTCTGAAAAGTTTTGTGCTTCCACCTCTCCCACTTTATTTTCCCTAGTCTTCACCCTTACACCTCAGTTTTACCTCTGGCCAAAATAAGTAAGGTACATTTATCAAAACACTGTTAACTTGCAATCCATTTTTAGCCTCAAAGATAACATAAAACGTCTTTGCAAGCCAGATGTGGTGGCTCATGCCTATAATCCCAGCACTAGGAGGCCAAGATGGGAGGATCTCTTGAGGCCAGTAGTTCTAGACCAGCCTGGACAACACAGCGACACCCTTTTTTTTCTTTTTTTTTTGAGACGGAGTTTCCCTCTTGCTGCCCAGGCTGGAGCGCAATGGAGCGATCTGGACTCACCGCAACGTCCGCCTCCCGGGTTCCAGCGATTCTCCCGCCTCAGCCTCCCTAGTAGCAGGGATTACAGGCATGCGCCACCACGCCCGGCTAATTTTGTATTTTCAGTAGAGACGGGGTTTCTCCGTGTTGGTCAGGCTGGTCTCCAACTCCCGACTTAAGGTGATTCGCCCGCCTCAGCCTCCCAAAGTGCTGGGATTACAGGCGTGAGCCATCGCGCCCAGCCGAGACCCCCGTCTTTACGATTTAAAAAAAAGGGGTGGGGGTGCAAAGTTTCGGAACTAGAAAATTCACCCAACATTTAGTAAAGGTCCTCTTCAACACCCTTCCAGCCCATGCAATCTCGGACCCCACCTCCCGAGCTGCGGGACGTTCCCCAAGGCAAGTCGCTTAACCTGACCCCCAGTGCCGCGTTTGCAGAACGGGGATAAGGACCACCTTAGTGGGTCTCCCCAAAGTGGGGTCGCACGGGAAAATGCACGGTGCTTGGCATACACTCAGCTTCCAGGCAGTGGCAGCTGCCGTGGCGTTTGCATCCCGCTGGCGAGGCTGGCGCTCGGGGAGGGCCGGGGGCCGGGCGGGCACGGCTCACCCACCTGCAGGCGGACGTTGAGCATCATGGAAGCCACGATGTAGAGGTAGGGAAAGTTGATGCGCAGCCGCCACGCCAGGTCGAAGAAGATGAGCAGCGTGCGAGTCAGCCCCTTGCAGAAGACCCCATAGGAGCGGGCGGCGGCCGAGCGCGAGAGCCGGACAGCCAGGCCCGACAGAGCCGCCGCCATATAGAGACCGGCGCTCCCACAGCCCGCCCGCCCGCCCTCTCCACGCCGCGTCGCCCCGGCCGCTGGCTCTCGCCTGGAGCGTTCACGGAGCGAGGGAGGCGGCGGCTAGACCGGCGGGCGGGCGGGCGGGCCGGCCGCGGAGGAGCGGAGTCCGCACGTCACGCTCGGAGAAGCGCCTCCGCGAGCCGCCGCCTGGTCCCAGCCCGGCCGCGCAGCCTGACGTCACAAAGCCAGCCACGCGTCTGCGCGGCCCATAGGCCCCGCCCCTGGGCACGCCCCCGCCACCTTGTTGCAGGTAAGACGCGCATGCGCGGGAGAGGAGTCGTGGGGTCGAGGCTGATGCGCTGTCTCCGTTCGCCCCCTACTGGTGAGTTTGAAAATGAAGACAAAGAGAGGCGATGGACGGTAGCAATGGTTGCAGACAAAGTGAATGTATTTAATGCCGCTGAACTATACATTTAAAAATGATTGCAGTACTAAATCTTTTTTTTTTTTTTTTTTTTTTGAGACGGAGTCTCGCTCTGTCACCCAGGCTGGAGTGCAGTGGCCGGATCTCAGCTCACTGCAAGCTCCGCCTCCCGGGTTCACGCCATTCTCCTGCCTCAGCCTCCCGAGTAGCTGGGACTACAGGCGTCCGCCACCTCGCCCGGCTAGTTTTTTGTATTTTTTAGTAGAGACGGGGTTTCACCATGTTAACCAGGATGGTCTCGATCTCCTGACCTCGTGATCCGCCCGTCTCGGCCTCCCAAAGTGCTGGGATTACAGGCTTGAGCCACCGCGCCCGGCCATCTTTTTTTTCTTTTTATTTGAGATGGAGTTCCGCTCTTGTTGCCCAGGCTGGAGTGCAATGGCGCGATCTCGGCTCACCGCAACCTCCACCTTTCGGGTGCAAGTGATTCCCCAGGCTCAGCCTCCCGAGTAGCTGGGATTACAGGCCCGCACCACCATGCCTGGCTGATTTTTGTATTTTTAGTAGAGACGGGATTTCACCATATTGGCCAGTCTGGTCTCGAACTCCTGACCTCAAGTGATCTATCCGCCTTGGCCTCCCAAAGTGCTGGGATTATAGGCGTGAGCCACTGTGCCTGGCCTACAGTGCTAAATCTCATGTTATGTAGCTCTTAACAGAATTAAAAATGCTGCTGAGGAGCATTTTTTTTTTTTTAAGACTCAGTTTTGCTCTTATTGCCCAGGATGGAGTGCAATGGCGCCATCTTGGCTCACTGCAACCTCTGCCTCCTGGATTTAAGCAATTCTCCTGCCTCAGCCTCCGGAGTAGCTGGGATTACAGGTGCACATCACCACGCCTGGCTAATTTTTGTATTTTTAGTAGACAGGGGGTTTCACCATGTTGGCCAGGCTGGTCTCAAACTCCTGACCTCAGGTCATCTGCCCACCTCGGCCTCCCAAAGTACTGGGATTAGCATTTTTTAAATAAATCAAATAAAATAGGCCGGTTTCGGTGCCCGACACCTGTAATCCCAGCATTTGGAAGGCCAAGGCGGGTCCATCCTTTGATCCCAGAAGTTCAAGACCAGCCTGGGCAACATAGCAAAATCCTGTTTCTACAAAAAGTGAAAAAAAACTCGCCGGGCATGGTGGTGCACACCTGTGGTCCCAGCTACTTGGGAGGCTGAGGTGGGAGGATCGCTTGAGCCCAGGAGTTCGAGGATGCAGTGTGGTATGATCACACCACTGCACTCCAGTCTGGAAAACAGAGTGAGACCCTGTCTCAAAACAAAACAAAAACAAAAATCACAAACCTTTAGTTTCCCTTATTTTAGCAGCATTATATTTTGCCACATTTATCGTTGACATTAAAAAGCTCACTTCATTTTTTTGAAAGCTATTTTTTCCTTTCAGTGCACATTGCATGCTATCCTTGAGCACTGCAGCGCACATGCTTCAGAATTATTGTTTTTCAGGCTATCCTCTTGATAAAAAGTAGAATGAAAATGTCTTTATGCAGTATTTAGGCAAATAATTTAAACATTTTAAAGAGTAGAGTCTTCGATGGAACATTTGCCAGAAAACACAGAATCAATCTGGTAATGTGTAAATAGGCTTGAAGATCAGCTAAATTTATTCTTAGGCTTGTAGAGATTTTCACTGGGGGAAATTTGTCAGTCCTGTTTATTTGAACTATGTGGAAAGACCAGATGGGCTGAGGTAACATGTGCTTATATATATAGAGAGAGATAGGTATATGTATATGTATAGACACACACACACACACCCAGAGTCATACACACATGCATATATTATCCTCCCTGGTTACTCATTTTTTTGTCTCTAAATGCCATTGTGGCATTTAAAAAATTTTTTTCAAGATGAGGGGTCTTGCTATGTTGCCCACTCTGGAGTGCAGGGGCATGATCACAGCTCACCGCACCCTGAACCTCCCTGGCTCAAGCCGTTCTCCTGCCACAGCCTTCTGAATAGCTGGGACTACAGATATGCGCCACCATGCTCGGCTTTTTTTTTTTCTTTTTTTTTTTTTTGCAAGGGACAAAGTTTCACTCTTGTTGCCCAGGCTGGAATGCAAGGTGCGATCTTGGCTCACTGCAACCTCCGCCTCCTGGGTTCAAGTGATTCTCCTGCCTCAGCCTCCCAACTAGCTGTGATTACAGGTATGCGCCACCATGCTCGGCTTTTTTTTTTTCTTTTTTTTTTTTTTGCAAGGGACAAAGTTTCACTCTTGTTGCCCAGGCTGGAATGCAAGGTGCGATCTTGGCTCACTGCAACCTCCACCTACTGCGTTCAAGGAATTCTCCTGCCTCAGCCTGCTGAGTAGCTGGGATTACAGGCATGTGCCACCATGCCCGGCTAATTTTGTATTTTTAGTAGAGACGGTGTTTCTCCATGTTGGTCAGGCTGGTCTTGAACTCCCAACCTCAGGTGATCCACCCGCCTCAGCCTCCCAACGTGCTGGGTTTACAGACGTGAGCCAACCGTGCCTGGCACATACTCAGCTAATTTATTTTTATTTTTATGTTATTTACTTATTATTATTATTATTGGTAGAGATAGGCTCTCACTATGTTGCCCAGGCTGGTCTGGAACCCCTGGCCTCAAGTCATCCTTCTACCTAGGCAGAGAGTTATTTTAACAGGCCATTTGGTTGCCGTAAACAATGGCAAGCAAAATTACCACAAAGCTAAACTGGGCAAGGTAAGAGGACTGTTGTAATGAGATGTAGTGAGAGGTCAAAGAGACACCCGGGAAAGCTAACAATATTTGAGGTATATCCAGGTTAATTGTTCCAAACTAGAGTGCCGGCTGGGAAATTAGCCTAGGTTCCTGAACTAGCATTCAGCTGAGCCCAGGGTCACTGAGCCTCTTTGGGAATACATTTTCCTCATTATGGGTTGAGAAACAAACACAGACAGAACTAATTATAAATCAGTGTAAGCCAAACACAGTGGCTCATGCCTGTAATCTCAACACTTTGAAAGACCAAGGCCTTCCATAATTATTACTATTAAAAATAATTTTTTTTTTTTTTGAGACAGAGTCTCGCTCTGTCACCCAGGCTGGAGTGCAGTGGCACGACCTTGGCTCACTGCAACCTCCACCTCCTGGGTTCAAGTGATTCAGCCTCCTGAGTAGCTGGGATTACAGCTTACTGTAATTACAGTCAAGAGGCTGAGGCAGGAGAATCATTTGAACCTAGGAGGCAGAGACTGGAGTGAGCCAAGATCGCGCCATTGCACTCCAGAGAACTGTGTCTCAGGTGAGAGAAACAGTCAAGTTCGTTCGTTCGTTCTTTCCTTCCTTCCTTCCTTCCTTCCTTCCTTCCTTCCTTCCTTCCTTCCTTCCTTTCTTTCTTTCGAGATAGAGTCTCGCTCTGTCACCCATGCTGGAGTGCAATGGCGCTATCTCAGCTCACTGCAACCTCTGCCTCCTCGGTTCAAGCAATTCTGCCTCAGCCTCTTGAGTAGCTGAGATTACAGGCAAGCACCACCACACCCCGCTAATTTTTGTATTTTAGTAGAGACAGGGTTTCACCATGGGTTAGCCAGGCTGGTCTCGAACTCCTGACCTCAAGTGATCTGCCTGCCTCAGCCTCCCAAAGTTCTGGGGTTATAGGCATTAGCCACTGAGCCCAGCCAAGCCTTTTTTCTTTTCAGCATGATCTGGTGAGGAAAGCACAGAGAAGCCAGGTTTCACATTTAGCAAGTTCTTGGTGCCCTGTGACCTGGTTCTGTAAAATGAGGATAAGGACACCCATCCTACAGGGTATTTATGAGAAGTAAATGAGATCAGGTATACACGGCATTTAGCACAGTCCCAGGCAGATAGAGGACACCCAGAAAGTGGTGGTAGCTATTTTCTTTCTTTTCTTTTTCTTGTTTTTTGTTTGTTTGGTTTTTGTTTTGTTTTGTTTTGTTTTGTTTTTTGAGACGGAGTCTCGCTCTGTCACCCAGGCTGGAGTGCAGTGGTGCGATCTTGGCTCACTGCAAGCTCCGCCTTCCGGGTTCACGCCATTCTCCTGCCTCAGCCTCCCCAGTAGCTGGGACTACAGGCGTCCGCCACCATGCCCGGCTGATTTTTTTGTATTTTTAGTAGAGACAGGGTTTCACCGTGTTAGCCAGGATGGTCTCGATCTCCTGACCTTGGGATCCACCCGCCTCAGCCTCCCAAAGTGTTGGGATTACAGGTGTGAGCCACCGCGCCCGGCCTTCTTCTTCTTCTTCTTTTTTTTTGGGGGGGGGACAAGAGTATGGTTCTGTTGCCCAGGCTGGAGTGCTGTGGTGAGATCTAGGCTCAGTACAACCTCTGCCTCCCAGGTTCAAGCGATTCCCCTGCCTTAGCCTCCTGAGTAGCTGGGATTACAGGCGCCCACCACCACGCCCAGCTAATTTTTGTATTTTTAGTAGAGATGGGGTTTCACCATGTTGGCCATGCTGGTATCAAACTCCTGACCTGACCTCAAGTGATCTGCCCACCTCAGCCTCCCAAAGTGCTGGGATTACAGAAGTGAGCCTCCATGGCCAGCCTCTCCTGCCTCATTTCTTTTTGAGACAGGATCTGGCTCTGTTGCCTAGGCTGGAGTGCAGTGGCATGGTCTCAGCTCACTGTAGCCTCAACCTCTTAGGCTCAAGCGATCCTCCCAGCACAGTCTCCCAGGTAGCTGAGAGTATAGATGCACACTACTGCACCCAGCTGACTTTTTTGTTTGTTTGTTTTTGTTTTTGTAGAGACGGGGCCTTGCTAGG